TATCTGCGATAGATTATGATAATAAGAGACTGGAAGAAGAAATCTTGAAATTTTGTTAGAAAAGAAGGCTTTTTTAGCATCCATGCATGTATGTAAGAGACAAAAATGAGATGGAAACTGACCAAAAGCAGACAACTGAGATCTTTTTGTAAAAGAATGGGAAGTTCCACCGCGAGCGCCACCGCCCAGCAGCCCCTGCTCCCTCTTCTTGGGCGGAGAAATCGAGGACGAAGCGGAAGACATCCGCTTCGCGACGGCCGCTTGCTCTGCGCTTCCGTACTTCCTGGGCCTCCCTCGCTTCCTCTTCACGGTCTCCAGCGGCGACGACACGGCCGAGGGCACCGAGCCGGGGTACACCGCGTGAGAACTAGCGGCGGCGGAGTTTGGGGCTATCCCATTCGTCGGTGAGGTGGCGGCGGTGAGGGATGGGTTGGGCGGTTGGTGGTGGTGGTAGTGATAGTAAGAGCTCAGTCCTCCGCTTTCGTTCAGCTCCATGAAGAGTATAGAATTTGGATTTGGGATTTTTTTTTTCTATTAATTTTTTTTAATTTTCAATTCATATGTTTTCTTAGATTTTGGGTTTTGTCTATCTTCGTTGTTCTTGACTTTGTTGCTCTCGCTTTCACTGCTTTCAGATGGGGTGGTGGACCATGTGGTGGAATCTTATCCGTTGGATTGGAATTTTGTGGTGATTTGACTCCACTCCAATTGTTGAAATTTTAACTACCATCTTTATCCAACAAAACTTTGATATTTTTGAATCACACCTTAATCTCCAAGTCCTTATCGGTCCTTTCCCCAAAATCTAACTTGTGTAGTAGTTTTCACAACCGAATTCTATAGAGAAAATGATTAAATAGACTTTAAACTTTACATAAAAAGTCAATTAGACTCTTAAACTTTAAAAGTTATAATTAAACTCATAAATATCTTGTTTTGAAATATTGAAGTCCAAAAATTAGTTAGTAATACCTAAAGTTTTGGCGACCTTTCACTATTTTCCTACCACATTCACAGGCGATCGTCGACCGGACGGTTGCCGATAGCGTTTGGAACTTACCCGGTGAAGGAGAAAGCGACGAAATTGGTCCAATTCGTCCCACAAGTTTGGTCGCCTCGACAGTCGCCGGTGACTGTGACTGAAAAATGATGGAAGGGTCGCTAGAACTCTAGGTAATCTGTAATTACATTTTACCAACCGGTTTTCGGATTTCAATGCTTTAAAATAACATGTTTATGGATTTAAATGCAACTTTTGAACGTTTAAGAGCCTAATTGACTTTTTGAGAAAAGTTCAATGGCCTATTTGACCATTATTCAAATTCTATAACATACTAGTAGAGCAAATATATTAACTCTTAATTTTAGAGTTAGTTCCCAAAATGGTCCTCCAACTATGACATTTTAAGTCAAAGTGGTTATCTGTTTGCTTTGGCGTGAAGTAGGTGTTAAAATTAAGAGTAAAATGGATAATTCAGGTTTTGCACTCCAGTTTAACGAATTTGCGACTCGCTTTCAACAGCCTGCGCACGTTTTTATTCAAATTAGGCTTTTGCTCTCCTCAATCTGCAATCAAAATGTGGAAAAATCAACTAGACGGCGAAAAAAGTTCATCCACAAACTTCCAAAAACAAAGATTTCACAATGGAGCATACAAACATCATGGACTAATTGTAGTAACAACGTTTAGATTCATAGTGAAATCTTTTGCCTTTAGAAGTTTGTAGATGAAATTGAAGATGAACTTGTTTGGCATTCTAGTTGATTATCCCACATTTTAATTGCAGCTTTAGGAGAGTAAAAACCCAATTTGAAGAAAAACGTGTACAGTCTGCTGAAAGGGAGTCGCAAATTCATTAAATTGGAGTGCAAAACCTGAATTACCCATTTACCCTTCATTTTAACACTTACTTCACATCAAAGCTAATAGAAGACGATTTTGGCTTAAAATTCAATAGTTGGGGACCACTTTGGGTGCAATTAAAAGTTAAGATACCAATTTAAAAAAGATCATAGTCGGAGGACCATTATGTGAATTAACTCCTTAATTTTATTTTTAATCATATTTGAGCCTTAAAGCAATATTAAAATATTGTTTATAAGGCAACATTTTATTGTTCCCCTGGTCCACACACATTGATCTAACAGGATAATAGAGGAGTAAGTCAGTTTGTCTTAGTAGTATATTAGGTGGAATGACTAATATTTGGTACACACAAGTAACAACCACATTAAATGTAACATGTTCAACATTGTGGTTGTTTTCGATTATGTGTCATTATCCACATCCTATATATAATAAAGCTATATGGTCTTGTGAAAATTAAATGGTGATAATCAACATTTAATTTTCACAAGACCATAATAATATTGTTGTTAATTATAATAACAATAATAATAATAATAATTATTGAAATAATAATAATGATAATAATTGCAATATATATATATATATATATATATATATATATATATTTATTTATTATATTTATTTATACTTATTTATATTTCAATTTCTACTGACAAATTATTGTGTGAACGATTGTCCACATAATTGTATGGATCATGAATATCAAATACATTGTTAATATATTAAAAATACATTATTTTTATATTGAAAGTACCTTACATACATATATAATGTACCCTTAGTATATTTAAAATATACTTTTTATTGCATGCAACCTCAAAGTTCATAAGTTTGAAATTACTATATGGCATAGCTAGGCGGCCTAATATTTAAGATTGTTGATGTGCATATTGAGGACTACGGAGACAAAGATGCGTTATTCGTGGATTCATCGGATACTATCCAACAACACTTTCCAACTTAATTGACGTGAAGTAGGCTTAGTAACATTAAGATTATATTCTCGAATTTTTAGTTCTCATCTTTTATTGATTACACACTTAATTCGATAGTATTTGGAAGAAAAAAATCAATGTTTGAACTAAGATTGTGATTTTGGTCTTTAAAGGTCAATTGTATGTTACTATATCTAGAGTTAGAAATCTCAAAAGTCTAAAAATTGTGATCCGTGGTGACTCTAAAATTGTAATTCAATTACTATTGTAGTTTACTAAGTTCTTAAAAATTTGTAATATTAAATACTATGTACTAAATTTTTAATATAGTTTAAGATTTGTAGTAATCACCCACCTTAAATATTATTTTAATTGTAAATATATTTATGTTCATAATTTTATCATAGGAATTCACACATAATAATTATTAAATAACAAAAATTTTATATATAAATAAACCTCATATAGGGTATATTTTTATAACATATTTTCCGTGCATCGCACGGGACAAATACTAGTTTAATATTATAGATGTATGGTTTTTTTATAAGGATATATTCAAGCCAAATAAGTCGTTTAACTTAAAATATGTGCAACAGAACCATTAAACAAATTAAATTTAAACTGTTGCAAAGGACCTTGTGGTCTAGTGGTTGTGGTACCAAGTTGCTCTCCCATATGAGAGGTTGTGAGTACATGTTCGGTAACAAAGTCAATAATACTCTAAAAAAAAAAAATTACATTGTTTACAAAAATGTTTCAATTGCACATAGATTAAGTTTAGTGATTCTATTGCACAAAATTATAAATTTAGTGGCGTATTTGATTTTTTTTTTTTCATAAAAAATATTGTTAGTCCTTTAAAATAAAAGATTGATTGCACAATAAATTAGTTGCAAAGCCACAACATACTGTCATGCCTCGTTGTCAAGAAAAATAAAAGTACAAAATAAGATGCATTCTTGCTACACATCATTAATTTTTGTCATCTGTATCAATATAGTTGATATAATCAAAATATCATTAGCCTTTACATTTTTCTAACCTAAGTTATCAGCATAAAAAAATATTGAAATTTTTTAATTCACACACATGTATGTATATATACAAAGAGTGACAATTACAATACAAGTATTTATCATTAAATTGAACATGTTTAACGTCGCACTCTTTATTGAAATGCTATTATCATAGCAAGGATAATAACTCCATTTTTAAAAACAATATTATTGAACCAAATGGGATATTTAGTAAACGAGTTGTTAATGCAAATAGCCTACGACCATGATAAAAAAAAATACAAAACTTAATTAACTAATTAAATCATGGAATAAATATATTCTCAAAAATAATAATCTTTATCTATGGAAGAATGTCGCTTTCTCCTAAAGAGGGTGACCTGTTGGTCACCTTCTTCAAAGGCAAATCGACAACTGTCGGTCATCCGATTTAGTAGTCTGAACATCACAAGAACTCTAATGACATGTTATCACATGTCACTATCTGACTTTGTGAACTTCGGTGCTCGAAAATAACATGTTAATAATTTTAATTGCAACTTTTAAAAGTTTATAAGCCTAAGTAACTTATCGTGTAAAGTTTATGAGGATATTTAACCATTTTATATATATATTCACAATCTAAGCATGTTCTAAATGTGTTTTCCTATAATCATCATGGGCTAAATTTAAAAATAGAAATAAAATTAATAGGATAATTACACTTTTCGTTAAGCTATAAATTAAGTGTAAGTTTAGTAAATGATTATCATGAGTTGTAATTGTGAATTATGATTTTTTTTTTTTGAATATATGTGAATTATGATCCCTAATATATCACAAAAGTGCGTATTTGTTTTTATTCAAATGATTAAAATAGTCACTTATAAATGTTTCACTTTTGGTTCTTAATACTAAAGATCAAAATAGCTATTTTTGTGACTGGCCAAAATTGCAACTCATGATAATTAGAGAACAAATGTACACTTAACTTATAATTTAGAGACTAAAAGTACAATTACATAAAAAATAAACACCTTTCAAAAAAAAAACAACAGTTTTTTCCGGTCCAACCGGATTTTTTCCCCAACCCGGCAATAGGCTAGATCGGTCGGTCCCTAACGAAACAGTGAGGAGATTTTTTAATCGTAAATTATGAAAAACTTTTTTTTTTTTTTTGGTTAACAAAATATCCAAAGCAAAAACCCCAACCCCAAAACCCTACTTTGTTAAAACCCCTCTTCTCCAGTAGTCCAGTGGACCATCGCTCAAAGCTTCTCTGAGACTGTACCCTTACCACCCTAACTGTAATGGCCAATTAAGCCCAAACTGAACTGAAAAGTCCAGCCATGGCGGCGAAGAAGAAGAAGCAGGACCGGAATTGCCGGAAGGATTCTGGCAGGAGGAGTGCCGAGCAGAGTGGAGCTGGGAAGGGAGTGAATTGCAGGAGAAATGGGAATACCATGAAGAGGAAGAGCACGCAACAGCAATTCATGAATGGTGACGATTATCGGCTTCGGCTTCAGGAGCTTCTCTACTCCCCGGAGCACATTTTCTCCAAAATTTTCCGCAAAGATGGGCCGCCCCTCGGGGGAGAGTTCGATTCTGTCCCGGAACAGGCATTTATTCACTGTGGTAAAGGTAGGCTTGATAGAATGCGATGTATTTTAGCCTATCTGAAAATTGTTGGTTTCAGTTTTGACTTAATTCTGGAATTTAGCAGGAGTATTGGTATATCTGTAATTACTTTACATTTATTACAGGAACAATTCTGAAAACTGTTTTTTAGTAATTAAAAAAAATCTAGCAGGGTTTTTATCTGCTCCTCAATTTTCACTTTCAGTCTCTGGATTTGAAGCAGGTTATATTTTTAATGATGGCGACTTTCCAAATGCTTTAATTTTGATATTTCTAATGAATAAACATTTGCTAATGGTAATTGAGCTATTAGAGGAAGATATGATGAAAGACCTCTATGTTTGGAGGAAAAGTTTATATAAAATTTTATGTACAAAAGGAACATTTATTAGGTCTACAGTTCTGCATGTTTAAAAAGCCAATTTGAGATGGATTGGATGATATCCATGATGCATCCATTACCTTTGCTAAATTGCTGATGGCTTGGATATGTCTCGTGATTAATCTCTACCTTACCCATTGACACTTAAATATTCCACTGTTGATCAAATAATAAATTGTCATCTTTGCTTGTGTGTTGTCTCATGCCTCATTTTCTACTTTTCCCTTGTAATGTCAGATTCCCGTAATCCTCATCGTGCTTGCCGGGAAAACCAAAGAGCTCATAAACGGAGAAAGGTACTCAATTAAGATTACACATCAATTTGAACTACTTTGAAAGAGAAATTGGCATCACTGGTAATGGATTATCAATCAATTTTGTATATACTAATTACTTTTGTTTCTTCTTCTTTCCCAATCTTCCAAGATGTTGACACCTGCCTTCTCTGAAGACCACGCTTGCGGCGAAGACAACCCTTCCTCCTCTGGAAATAATCATGGTGTTGGGAAAGGTCTGATTACCAACAAGGGTAATTCAGCAAATAAATATGGTGTAGGGAAAGGCATGATGACTGTAAGGAGTGCTCTTGTTAAAAGGTATGGTATTGGAAAGGGTTTGATGACAGTTTGGCGGGCAACAAATCCAGATTCTGCACATTCTCCAGCTGGTGTTAATTTTGGTGAGAGAGCTAAAGAGAAAAAGAAGTTTCAACAAAGGCAGTCTATTTTGGTTAGTCATTTAATTGACATTTTATGCGACTATGCCCCCCTTCCCAAGTCTTCTTGTCCATTATTTCTCCCCTTGTACGTTATATAGATGTATGCGTATATGTTTTTTTTTTTTTTTTTTTTTTAAAGGAAAGATGTATATAGATGTATGCGTATATGTTATTGTTTCTTTTTGGGCTTGGGAATTAGGGGTATAGTAAGTAAAGTTTTATAGATGAAACTCTGCAAGTACAAAAAATGCTTTGAAGGTGTATTAATAAAACTTCTGAACTCACTAGAGGTATCCTACATGGATTCACCATCTTTCTCCATATTGATTACCAAAAGTATGCATGTCTGCATTTTTGTGTATAATCTTTGTGGCAGAAAAGTTTAATTATTTCTTGTGATTGCTTGAAAAGGATGTTTAATGTAAGTTTTTTAATGCAAGCAGAAAAAGTTGGCAAATAAATCACAGGATAAAAGGAAGCCTGCACTTAAAAGCAGAAAGGTATTTATGGAGTATTTCCTACTTACAGCATAGTTACAGGTTTTATTGTCAGTGTCTGATCAGGTGCTTTTGTTGGATTTGCATGGGCTTTGTATTTTATTGTTGCAGTTGGAAACTCAAAAAACTTTAAAGTGGAAACAGCCTCGCAAAGAAAAATGTGAACTTGCTCTAGAGGAGGGGAGTGAAGAAGACAGCAGTCAATTTGCACTGCTAGTGGATGATGAGGAGTTGGAGTTACAAGAGTTACAAACAGGACCAAATCCATTAACTTGCTGTACACACTTCACTGGTAATGGATTGCGTGGGTGTTCTCTTTGCAAAGGTGGGGTCAATATTCCTTCTTTAATGCCATTCTCTTGAGTATTTCTTTTAATTGTTTTGTTCCTGAGGACTATTTTAGTTGGTCCACTTGCGAATAAAGAAAGGGACAAATTGTCTGGAAAACTGCAAAATTTGCTCATGCAAATAATTATTGTACACACACACATGGTCACATGGAATGCCTTTTCTTACAATAGTTGCTAATGCTCTAGATTTGCTTGCGAAGTTTCCTCCGGATACTGTCACAATGAAACTCCCCCTATACATGCATCCATGGGATTCTTCTCCAGAGCTTGCCAAGAAAATTTTCAAGGTATATGGAAGGCACAATTCTTCTGAAGCTAATTCATTTCTGTGGATGGAAAGATATAATGCAAATTGTGTTGACATTTGGTGCATTCCCCTGTCCCCAACAATTTTATATTTTATTTTTATTATTCAGAAGTTTCCTTGGGGAAGTTTAGTGTGAAGCTTTGTTAATTGGGATGATTTTATTTCTATGTGCAGATCTTTCATTTCCTTTGCACTTGCGCCGTAATAATGGATATATCTTCATTTACCCTTGATGAGTTTGCTTGTGCATTTCATGATAAAGTAAGTTGCATTTGGACATGTTCTTCTCTTCCATCGAGCATCTAACTATCTAAGCTTGTTGTTTGCTTTGATGATGATCATCAGTTGTCATTCTTTGTTATCTGTCTCTACCTTTGGTATTCAGGATTCTTTGCTGCTTGGTCAAGTTCATGTGGCCCTTCTCAGGCTTCTGTTGTCAGATGTTGAAATGCAACTTGCTAGCGACTTACCTTGTCATTCAAGCAAAAACATTCATTTTCTGGATTTAGTTCAATCAGTAAGTTCTAGTTTCTACTGAACATGTAGACAGCTTGTGGTAGTCCAATTTGTTTCTGAATATGGTTTCCACTGTTGTGTATTCCTAGTTTCCTACACTACTTCATGTATATCATTTTGAAGACTCTGTTACATGTCCTCTGGACATCTGACCATTATCAGATATACAGAGTATGTCGTAATGTTGTTGCTGGTGCTATTTGAAAGATCGTTGTATGTACTGCATGGGAAATGTTGCATTTATAAAAAAGAAATTTATAAAAAGAAATGTTAAACTAAGCACCATGGACCAGTGTTGGCAATTTAATATCAAATTCTTCTTAATTACTCCGTACATTTTTTGCTTTCATTAGCTTTATTGTCTCTGTGGTGTTTACTTCTTTTTAGTTTGAGTGGACTTTGCATGTGTTGTCTGCAAAACTCATGAGACATATTACGGACAAAGGAGTAATATTGGAAGGCTTTGAAAGGGATGGAATTAATTGCATATATATATATATATATATATATATATATATATATATATATATGTACATCTGCTTATTGTTAATATTTTGTATTATTGGCAGGAAGAGTGTTGAATATGCTTGCTGTCTTAATTAAAATTGACTCGTACAAGAATATAATGTTGAACATTCTTACTTAGTTCTAAAATTGAGACTCTTTGAAGTTAATGTGCTTTCATGGGCTCATTTGCTCATGGCATTTCCTTCTGTCTCTAAATTGAAATTCATCTACTCTATTTAACAACCCTTTTCTGAAAGAGTAAAAATGTCACAATTTGACAGGTTGAACATAAGACATATATTCTAAAAGTTTGGCTGGATTCGCTGAATGCCCTCACATGGATAGAAATCTTGAGGCAAGTGTTGGCTGCAGCTGGTTTTGGGTCCCAATGTGGTGTAATTCCTAAGGAAGCTCTCAACAAGGTAGTAGAGTTTTCTATTCTATTTTTAATAAAGAGTGAGCCTTCTATGAGATCGTCTCACGGATCCTTATCTAAGACGGGTCTGGTCACGATGAAAATGTAATACTTATGCTGGAAAATGTAATACTAATTAGGAATAAATTGTTTGTTACTTATAAGGAAATGTGTAATACTTTTGAGGAAAAATGTAATACTAATCATGGATATATTGTTTAATTGTTACTTGTGAGAGAAAGTGTAATACTTATGACGAAAAATGTGATACTTTTGATGAAAAATATAATACTTTTAAATCAAAATGTAATATGGAGTATTAAGAGATAGTCTCATAGGAGAATTTGCCTTTAATAAATAGTTTGTTCTTTAAGTCCCAAGGTCATCACTTGTGCCTTTGAGTCATATTGCATCTTCAAACAAAATGTGGATCATCTTAAAGTCGCAATAATTAACATCTGAGAATTATTTTATTTGTTGACTAATAGTTTTAAGGTATAACTAATTGGTTTTCTTGAACTCATGCTTTCATGTTTGGGCTTGTTTCATAGGAAGCCACTTTTATGGCCAAGTATGGCTTAGCTCCTGGTACACTGAAGGGTGAATTATTCAGCATTTTGCTAGTGCAAGGAAGTAAAGGAATGAAAGTTCCAGAGCTGTCAAAATTGCAATCTGTAAGTTGAGTTCATATATAATTTATTTGTTCTGAATGGAGGAAGAACATGCATTTTTATCTATATAATTTCCACAATATAATCTATTAAACATTTATTAACTTGAGCGTTAATGTATTTTACTGACTTGGGTGTAAATCTTTTTTTTTTTTTTTTTTTTTTTTTTTTTTTTGAAGATTGTTGAGTTGAATCTTGTGGAAACTACCAATGAATTAGAAGATTTGATAAGCTCAACTCTTTCAAGTGACATTACCTTGTTTGAGAAGATTTCATCTTCAGGATATCGTCTACGCCTTAATCCTGCTGCCCAGGGAACTGAAATTTACCAATTGGAAGATGATGACTCTGATGTCAGCATTGGATACTGCAGTAATGATGATTCTGACATTGAGTGCCTAGACTCAGCTCCAGCTAAATCCAGAAGAAAGAATCAGCATGTAAATAAGATATTGACAGTATGCACTGAAATTGATGAAAGCAACCCAGGAGAACCATGGCTGGTAGGATTGATGGAAGGAGAATATTCAACTCTGAGCATTGAAGAGAAACTGAATGTCTTGAGTGCATTGGTTGACCTTCTTACTGCTGCATCTAGATTCAAAATTGAGGTAACCTTTAAGTGTAGAAATATCAAATATTTACTTCATTTTTTATTCCGTGGAGTTGATTTATATTTACGACTGATCTTTAGGATAAGCTGAGTTCTGCACCAATATTGCAGTGCTTTGTATTTCAGATGGTTTCTTGTTCAACATGTATTAATTATTCACCATTTCTTTTCAGGATCCTGTAACAAGTGATGCTGGTTTTGCTCCTGTAACAATTAATCATGGTTCAGGGGCAAAAATAAAGAGATCTACAGCAAAACAGAGACAAATAGGAGGCTACTGCAGTTGGCTTAGTGCCAAGGACATGAGCATGACATCAGCACTTCACCCTGTTGATTCTTTAGTCCTCATGTCAAGTAAATATAAGAAAGATAATTCCTTTAGCATGTCTAATGCACCAAAAATGGATAATGGGGATGATTTGCACCCTATGCAGTCTATCTTCTTGGGTTCTGATCGCAGGTACAACCGATACTGGATGTTCTTGGGCCCTTGTGACGACTTTGATCCTGGTCACAGAAGAATTTATTTTGAATCATCTGAAGATGGTCATTGGGAGGTGATTGATACAGAAGAGGTACCTACCCCACTTTTGATATCTTTGTTTCCAAGTTGCTTTCCTAAAAGCATGATTTTATGAACTGTTTTCACTGCATTCTTAATCTGGCTGTGCAGGCATTGGGCACTTTGTTGTCAGTTTTAGACCACAGAGGAGCACGGGAAGCTCGCCTTATAGCATCTTTGGAGAAGCGAGAAACAGTACTTTCTCAGGCAATGTTGACCACGATTAATGATGAGAGAGTGGGACAATTAGTCCCATCTCATCAATGTGAAATGAGTATTTCCAGGGAAGAGAGTTCATCTTCAGCAGTTTCAGATGTCGACAATGCGAGTCTTGCTGAAGTGCAAAATGGACTTCCCTCTTCTATTAATTCTGTAGTCCATGTAGGGAAGAAGGTAGAGCCACAGAGAGACAAATCTGGCCTTGCCAAAGCTTTTGACACATGGATATGGAAGTCATTCTATTCCAATCTTAATGCTGTGAGACGTGGAAAAAGGCCATATCTTGAATCACTTGCAAGATGTGAATGGTGTCATGATCTCTACTGGAGGGATGAGAAGCACTGCAGAATTTGTCACACTACATTTGAGCTCGACTTTGATATTGAGGAGAGATATGCTATTCATTCTGCAACTTGTGGACTGAATATAGATACTAATAAGTCCCCAAGGCATAAAATCCTGTCCTCGCAATTGCAATCACTTAAAGCTGCAATCTATGCAATTGAGGTGTGTTCATCTAGCTCAATCTTTCGCTTACTAATATGCTAGTCCTAGTTCTGCCAAGCTCTTTTTGAGGTTCATCTACTCCAAAAAGTATAAAGCTTGCCCAAAGATTTTTTTCTTCCTTTTAAAAGGCTTTTAATGCTAGATAAGAGGCACTAAACATCTGTTTTCAAGCTCAGGATTTTCAAGAAACTTTTCTAGAAAAACCACTTTTCAATAAGCTTAAGTTGGGCCAAACAAGCTTTTAGAAGACAGCTGCAGTATAAACATGTTCTTTTCCCACACTTTTCTCATTTCTTTTCACAAGATATGGATGCACATGATTGTGATGGCTTTGCATCATCTGTGTTTTTTAATGTTTAATATTTGATGACACAGTAGTCCTTCGCTCTATGTTACCAAGTAGGACAAGGAATTGACAAATGGAATATAATACATATGATACACACCCAAAATAAGAGATAGTTTACTCAGAAAAAGGAATGAAGAAAATCAGGCAAATCAGAATACACAAGGAAAGGCTTAACTCAAGGGATTTGACAAGAATAAATCAAAGGCACAATCACATCAACAATCATCTCCTTTTCTATAATTATTTATTTCCTGGCACTATAAATTAGAACCTCTAGATGAGACTATGAGAGAAAATCATCCGATCTTTATCCTTAGTCTTTAAGCTTTAGTAGCTAGGCAAGAGCCTAAAACTCTTGCTGGGGGCAAGTGCTTCCAGTTTTATTGACTAGAAACTGAAATAAAGAAACAGGAAGTCACAAGACTTTCCCCCTAGCAAGAGTTTTAGGCTCTTGCTTAGCTACTAAAGCTTAAAGACTTAAGGATAAAGATTGGATGATTTTCTCTCATCTAGAGGTTCTAATTTATAGTGCCAGGAAATAAATAATTATAGAAAAGGAGATGATTGTTGATGGTATTGTGCCTTTGATTTATTCTTGTCAAATCCCTTGAGTTAAGCCTTTCCTTGTGTATTCTGATTTGCCTGATTTTCTTCATTCCTTTTTCTGAGTAAACTATCTCTTATTTTGGGTGCGTATCAACATATTTGTACTTTTGAATAGGAAAACACAATGATTTTTCAGCACAGTTAGAGTGCAAGATGATTGGAAATAATTGTGTTCAATGCCCTAATGATGTCAACTCCGTTTAGGAAAATGGTGTATCTTCAAATAAGATGTTATTAGTTGTTAATTATGAGAATGGTCAAACTTCTTACCCAAGGAATGGAGTCCTTCTCTTTTAATTTTCCCCAAAAAGTCTTAGAAAATAGGTCTTTGCAGACATAGTTGGATTTACAGGATGAAGCTTGTTAAAAAAGAAAGTATATAATTCTGTGACATGTATAATTCCCAAAACTTTCTTTCTTTAAGCTTTTAGGCTAACTTTGTTCATTATATTTTTGCAGTCAGTTATGCCTCAAGATGCCTTAGTGGGCTCTTGGATTAAGTCTATTCATAACCTTTGGGCCAAAAGACTACGCCGAGCCTCAACTTTGGCCGAAGTTTTACAGGTAATAAACACTATAATCCAACAATATCTCCATGTGTTTTTGTTGTTTTATCCCAAGAGAGGATCTGTACATTGATTCATGATATTTGTATCTCAGAGACTTTCTGCCATCTGTGCATTGATCATTCAACCAGTGGTTTATGACTCATTGTATATATATATTTCAGGTTCTTGCTGATTTTGTCAGTGCTATCAATGAGGACTGGGTCTATCAAATTATTCATGATGGATCAAATTGTGTTCTGGAAGAATTTCTTACAAGTTTTCCAACCATGCCACAAACTGTGTCTGCAGTTGCTCTTTGGTTGGTAAAGTTAGATACCTTGGTTGCACCATATATGGCAAGTGCTGCTTCTCAGAATAAAATGCAACTAAATGCCAATTCAAAAGGTGCAATGATTTCACATTTTCAAATTGTACTTCTACTTTATGCATAACACTATGCTTTTTTCCGCGGGGACCACAGACACAATATGAGTAAATAATTAATATGGCCTTCAAAGGGTAACCCCAGTCAAGTTGGTTGACTTGGTAACCACAATGTTACAAGTTCAAATCCATGCTAAAGCAGCCTATTGGCCTTCTTGGTTTGTGCCGGCCAACTATGGGCAACCTAGGCTGGTTTACCTCCTTTTGTGGTCCTTTGCCGGTTATGGTCACGAGGTGAAGTTTACTGAGCGCACACCTCGGGTAGTGACTGCGAGTTTCCCTCATTACTCGAAAAAATAAATATGGTCATCAATGTTTCATAAATTAAAAAACAGTGTTTTGGTTTCAAAATCATCACTCATCAACGTGTCCTTCAAAATTCTGACAATCTCAGGCAATGGTGAACAGTTCTGGGTGACTAACTCTTATTACCTTGATTTCCCCTGGTGTTTCAGGTAAGCATGCTATAGAGGTATAGATGCCCTTTCTGGTCCACAAGCACACGGTATTATCTACAGTGATCTTAAATGCCTTGGAATTTCTTCTCCACATTTGAGATGTTTCAAATAAAGATGTGTCCAGCGTCCATGGTTATCCTAGCATGACGATGGTTGATGCTGTAGCCTGTAAGGTGCAAATAATGCACGCTACGGCTTTGAGTTTTCTGGAAGATAAACAAAACATGGTGTGTAGTTCAGACATCAGGGCAATGATCAAGGCTGAAGTTACGCGTGCTTGCGTAGTACTAATCCATTTTTTGGGCTCACTTTTACCAGGACGCCAGCAAGATTGTTTTGATGTACAGAATATATATATATATATAGAGAGAGAGAGAGAGCAACCGAGGTTCCTCACTCCATCTTAGACCCCACAAAATTTTGCTGTAATGTTGGTTTTATTAGTATTCACAACTGAATAGCTTTTCACTTGCAATATCACCTTACTCCATGTAGAGAAAATTCTACACTTGTGTCTCATGTAAGAAAGAATAAAAGTCTCTTGGTTCTTTATATCCCAAATCCCATTTTTTAGTTCACTGCCCTAGGCTACTGTGTATATACAACTTCATTTTTTGGGTACAAGCAGGAAGTAGCACATTTAGCTTCTTAAGGTTTAATAAGTTTGATTTAAGAGTATTTCATATAAGACAGCTTTACGTAAGACCTACTCTTTGTTTTCTGTTAAAGAGTATTAGTTTATGGTGACAGATACAACAAAATCTCTAATATGAGGTATAGTGTTTAAAGTGTAATTAAAAATTTAACATTTATCATACTCCTTTATATATATATATATATATATATATATATATATATATATATATATATATATATATATATATATATATAATGATAAGGGTAAGCTTCAACTATTATCTAAGGATACACGAGAGATAAATTGCAAACATTAATCATGCACTTAAGAGTGAGATAAAAGGATGTTGTGTTTGCTTTGTGATATAATATTTGAAATTGGTGGATGGTTGAAATGCTTATATTAAATTGGGTCTGTCTATTGAACCAACGACCTCCAAATTAAGCAATGGATATAGTAGTATGTTCGTTTTTGCAAACACTGAAAATCCGATCCATATTTGAACGTGGTCTTTGAAGTCTAAATAGAGTCGAAACTCGAATAAATCCCTTAAATTTTGTTTTTTGTTTTTTGTTTTTTTGAAAATTATTTTCTTGTTTTTTTTTTTTTTCATCCCTTATTCTCTTTTATTGGTATCTTAAAATTTGTGCAGAAAAATAACTATTGAGGATGCCCTAAGCTTTGATTAAAGAGTAATTTTGTTAATTTACAATAACTAATTAATACCATAAATTCTCACGCTTTACTGAACTAAATTGCATCAAATGAAACTATATATTCATTCAATGCAAAACTTTAATCTCTCCTGTCTCAAGTCTTAATTCCAACACACTTAAATAGTCACTATTAATATAGTGTGATTTATTTAGTTACTTGCACACACTATATTGTATCCCATTAGATTAATCCAAACTCAGCCTAGATTACACTTGCATAATTTAATTTAAGAAAAGTCTATTGCAAAACTCTTTAACATAGTCCTTCGATGTTAACATACTTCCGATATTGTAATTGTTTACCGATTATCTCTTTTGAGTGTCGAGAGAAATTCCGTGTCATTATTCAAAATTGTGTATCGGGTAAATCTCACCTTGTAACTTTAATCGGCAAAAGACCACAAAGATGTATATTAGTCTAGATTGTCAATATCTGATTCACTTAAAATTAAAAATGTCAATAGGCTGCTTTTACTATTAAAACAAAATGTTGAATGGTATATAATGTGATTTTTTAAATATATATGTACAGTAGAAAATATAAAATTTAATAAATGAATTCAAAGTAACGTTTGCAATATTTAATAGACATTCAATATCTGACTCCATAAATTTATTGCAGTATTATTATGCATACGCCAACAATACCGACCAATCTTGTTCTTACGGACAGCCTGTAACGGGCGGGCGCTCTGAAGAAGACAAAACAGAAGCAGAGAAGGAACAGTGTCATAAGCAGAAGAGGACAGTTATTTTAAACAATTAAACTTTTCAGTTTTCTTATATCATTATCTCACTCTAAAAGGTTATTTCTCTTTCTGGCTTTTTCGATCAGTATAGTATGCATTATCCCCTTTTTCAGTAAGTTGATCGTCTTGCTTACCTTTTCTGAGTTTACTTTTTCTGGGTTTCTCTTTTTCTGTTCCTCCATTGACCCTCCAAACCTTCAGAGGTAAAAAATGACTGGCTTTTAGTTCGATTTCTGGTGGTATCAATCATACCCAGATTTTATTTTACCTTTTTTTTTTTTTTTTTTTTTTTTTTTTTTTTTTTGTTTTTTTGTGTGGTTAGGAGGAGAAAGCTGCAAGCTTGTGTGTGGAATCTTGTTCTGCATTCTTTGTACTTTCTGATAAGAGTATTTTATTTTGCCCAAGTTGTAGTTCTGTTCTGTTGATGCTTTTTATCAGGGTTTAATTTATTTTGGGTGACCCAATTTGGTTTCTGGAGCAGAAGATTCCAGTTTCTTTAATTTTGCTTATATATATATTTTTCCTTGTATGATAAAGATGGCATTCTCTGCTCCTTTTTTCTTTTCTAGTTAAGCTTAATTTTTTTTTTTTTTTCTCTCTCTCTCTCTGCCCCTCTGCTTTCTGGGCTAGCAAGATTTTAGCTTTCATGTCTGCTATGTTAATGTGTGCAAAAAAGATGAGATTTTTCTGAATTTGCCTCAAATTTTCCTGTAGGGGATTCAGTAAAAAGGCTGTCTTTAGCACTTTGGAGATTCTTGATTGGGTTGAGTGTGGGGATCTACCAGTTGGATGATTCAAGAATCAAAATGGGGTTTTCTGGGATGGTGTTAATGTTGTTCTTATCGGCCTCGATAATTTGTCCTGTGAGTGGGATTATAGGTGCTAACTGGGGCACACAGTCAACTCACCGCCTACCACCCGAGATTGTGGTGAGGATGCTCAGGGAAAATGGGTTCCAAAAGGTTAAGCTTTTCGATGCAGATTATGACACCTTGAGAGCCCTGAGTAATTCTGGCATTGAGGTCATGGTTGGAATTCCCAATGATATGCTACTCACCATGGCTAGCTCAAAGGCGGCTGAGAAATGGGTTTCTGAAAACGTCACAGATCATATCAAAAACCACAATGTTAACATCAGGTGCTTAAAGCCATTAGCTTTTAACCGATTACACGTTTCTTTGAGTTAATGATGACTGATTTTGTGGCTTTCAGGTATGTTGCGGTTGGAAATGAACCTTTCTTGGAAACGTACAATGGGACTTATCTTCGAACTACTTACCCCGCTCTTCAGAGTGTTCAATCTGCGCTTGTAAAAGCTGGGCTTGGCAGTAAAGTGAAGGTTACGGTCCCCCTGAATGCTGATGTCTATGACTCCTCTAGTGGCTTACCATCGGGTGGAGATTTTAAAGCTAACATTCATGACTTTGTGCTTCAAATTGTCAAATTCTTGAGCGATAATGGTTGCCCGTTTACAGTTAACATCTATCCTTTCATAAGCCTTTACATTGATCCCGGATTCCCCGTTGATTATGCGTTTTTTGATGGGAATGCAACCCCATTGAATGATGGTGGCGCAATCTATTCCAACATGTTTGATGCTAACCATGATACTCTGGTGTGGGCTTTAAGGAAGAACGGGTTTGGGGGCTTGCCTATTATAGTCGGGGAAATCGGTTGGCCAACTGACGGGGACAGAAATGCCAACTTACAGTATGCACAGAAGTTCAATCAAGGGTTCATGGCTCACATATCGGGCGGAAAAGGCACTCCAATGAGGCCTGACCAAATCAACGCCTATCTGTTTAGTTTGCTCGATGAGGATGCCAAGAGCATTGCTCCCGGAAACTTTGAACGCCATTGGGGGATATTTTACTACGACGGTCGACCCAAGTACTCTCTCAATCTTGGCACGACGAATTCGGGATCTCTGATTCCAGCGAGAGGCGTGCAGTATCTGGAGAGGAAATGGTGTGTGCTCGATCCAAATGCAAGGCTCGATGACCCTCAGATTGCTCCGAGTGTGAGTTTTGCGTGTTCGCTAGCTGACTGCACTAGCCTCGGGTACGGGACATCTTGCGGGAATTTGAACGCCCAGGGAAATATTTCGTATGCCTTCAACAGCTATTACCAAATTCACGACCAGAAGGATGAAGCCTGCAAATTCTCGGGCCTTGGAGCAGTAGTAAGGTCGGATCCATCGACTCAGAGTTGCAGGTTTGGGATCATGATCCAACCATACTACGGAAGCGCTGACCGGATTTTAGGACATCCTCGGACACTGCATTTAGTTTCAGGTTTCATTCTCTCCCTGTGGACAATTCTCGAGTTACATTCACTTCCCGCGATTAGTCTCTAGAACAGCCATGTCTCATCTTCATGTTTTAATTTAATTTAATTTTTTTTGCTGCGTTACTGGAAGATGATTGTGACAGTAGCATTGTCTGTTTTGTGATTGTTTGAACCGCTAAGAAGGTTGTTGTGGGGGCCGTGGGGCAATGTATCTCTGTCAAGTTTTAAGGTCTATCGAGGTTTTCCATTTTATGGGATTATGCATCCACCAATTGTTTGTACAGATCCTGACAGTTTAGTAACCATTTTTCAGCAGTTTTTGCTTGATGATTAATTATGATCTTTTACCGCTAGTATAGGCCTGTGGAAAAACCATTTCCTTAGCAGCCTTTGTATGATTCATGATCTTTTCCCTTTATCATTGGCACTTCATTTCCACACAAATAAGTGAGATGCAGCAAGCTAATTACATATACCTAAGATCTTTACAGACAGAACCTGTTTGGTTATAGCTTTATCTAACATAACTACGTCTCCAAGATTTTTGATACATCTTATTTATAACTAGAAAACTGCAAAATAGCCACTGGCTATGCCTCCCAAAGAGGGGGTTGAGGGTGGGGAAAGCGACTTTTGACTCCTGCCCTTTTGGGGTTTGCACTATATTGGGGCAACTCCAATCAAGTTGGTCGTCAGACTGTTGACTTAGAAACCACAAAATTTACAAGTTTTTCCCTTAGTGGGACACTGAGCAGCTTTTTGGCCTTTTTAGTTTGAACCGGTTAGCTATGGGTAACCTAAGCTGGTTTACCTCCTTGTGGTCCTTTGCCGGCTAGAGTTTACTCAATGCACACTCTCGGATAGTGGTTGTGGGTTATCCTCGTCACTCAAAAAAAAAATGAAGATTAACCAAGTAGGCTTTACTAGAAAAGCAATGGCTTGTCTTATATGCTTCAGCTCATCCCAAGCTGAACCTGCATGCTGTCATTTTTCCTTTATTACTAAATGGATGATGGATTAGCACATAATTTTACTGAATAGAGAATAACATTCACATGTTCCAATTCTTCCTTGTTAGAATTTAGAAGGTATTTGATAACAAACTCCTCACCGCATCTTTAATACACAGTTTGAAATCCTTCAAGGGGGCAACTCATATGAAGATAGCCAAACATTCTTCCTAGGAT